TATGTATGTATGTATGTATGTATGTATGTATGTATGTATGTATGTAGGTATGCATGCATGCATGCATGCATGGATGGATGGATGGATGTAATGTATGTAACGTATGTAATGTATGTAATGTATGTGATGTGTGTGTGATGTATGTAATGTGTAAAATGTATGTAATGTATGTAATGTATGTAATGTATGTAATGTATGTAATGTATGTAATGTATGTAATGTATGTAATGTATGTAATGTGTATGTATTGTATGTAATGTATGTAATGTATGTATGCATGCATACATGCATGCACGCATGGGTGGTATGTATGTTTTGTATGTTTTGTATGTTATGTATGTCATTTATATATATATGTATGTAATGCAATGTAATGCAATGTGATGCAATGTAATGCAATGTAATGCAATGTAATGTAATGCAATGTAATGTAATGTAATGCAGTGTGATGCAATGTAATGTAATGCAATGTAATGCAATGTGATGCAATGTAATGCAATGCAATGTAATGTACTGTAATGTAATGTAACGCGATGTAATGCAATGTGATGCAATGTGATGCAATGTGATGCAATGTAATGCAATGTAATGTAATGCAATTTAATGTAATGTAATGTAATGCAATGTAATGCAATGTGATGCAATGTGATGCAATGTATGGGAATGTAGTGTAATGTAATGTAATGCAATGTGATGCAATGTAATGTAATGCAATTTAATTTAATGCAATGTGATGCAATGTAATGCAGTGTAATGTAATGCAATTTAATGTAATGCAATGTAATGCAATGTGATGCAATGTGATGCAATGTGATGCAATGTGATGCAATGTAATGCAATGTAATGTAATGCAATGTAATGCAATGTGATGCAATGTAATGCAATGTAATGTAATGCAATGTAATGCAATGTGATGCAATGTGATGCAATGCAATGTATGCAATGTAATGCAATGTAATGTAATGCAATGTAATGCAATGTGTAATGCAATGTAAGGTGTAATGCAATTTAATGTAATGCAATGTAATGCAATGTGATGCAATGTGATGCAATGTGATGCAATGTAATGCAATGTAATGTAATGCAATGTAATGCAATGTGATGCAATGTAATGCAATGTAATGTAATGCAATGTAATGCAATGTGATGCAATGTGATGCAATGCAATGCAACGTGATGCAATGTAATGCAATGTAATGCAATGTAATGTAATGCAATGCAATGTGACGCAATGCAATGTAATGCAATGTAATGCAATGTGATGCAATGTAATGCAATGTAATGTAATGCATTGTTATGTAATGCAATGCAATGTGATGCAATGTAATGTAATGCAATGTAATGTAATGTGATGCAATGTAATGCAATGTAATGTAATGCAATGTAATGTAATGCAATGCAATGTGATGCAATGTAATGTAATGCAATGTAATGCAATGTGATGCAATGTGATGCAATGTAATTTAATGCAATTTAATGTAATGTAATGCAATGTAATGCAATGTGATGCAATGTAATGTAATGCAATTTAATGCAATGTAATGCAATGTAATGCAATGTGATGCAATGTAATGCAATGTAATGTAATGCAATTTAATGTAATGTAATGCAATGTAATGCAATGTAATGCAATGTAATGCAATTTAATGTAATGTAATGCAATGTAATGCAATGTGATGCAATGTAATGTAATGCAATTTAATGTAATGTAATGCAATGAAATGCAATGTGATGCAATGTAATGCAATGCAATGTAATGCAATGTGATGCAATGTAATGCAATGTAATGTAATGCAATTTAATGTAATGTAATGCAATGTGATGCAATGTAATGTAATGCAATGTAATGTAATGCAATGTAATGCAATGTGATGCAATGTAATGCAATGTGATGCAATGTGATGCAATGTAATGTAATGTAATGTAATGCAATGTGATGCAATGTAATGCAATGTAATGTAATGCAATGTAATGCAATGTGATGCAATGTAATGCAATGTAATGTAATGCAATTTAATGTAATGTAATGCAATGTGATGCAATGTAATGTAATGCAATGTAATGCAATGTGATGATATGCAATGTAATGTAATGTAATGTAATGCAATTTAATGTAATGTAATGCAATGTGATGCAATGTAATGCAATGTAATGTAATGCAATTTAATGTAATGCAATTTAATGTAATGTAATGCAATGTGATGCAATGTAATGTAATGCAATGTAATGTAATGCAATGTAATGCAATGTGATGCAATGTAATGCAATGCAATGTAATGCAATTTAATGTAATGTAATGTAAGGTAATGCAATGCAATGTAATGTAGTGTGATGCAATGTAATGCAATGCAATGAAATGCAATTTAATGTAATGTAATGCAATGTGATGCAATGTAATGTAATGCAATGTGATGCAATGCAATGTAATGCAATGTAATGTAATGCAATGTAATGCAATGTGATGCAATGTGATGCAATGTAATGCAATGCAATGTAATGCAATTTAATGTAATGTAATGCAATGCAATGTAATGTAGTGTGATGCAATGTAATGCAATGTAATGTAATGTAATGCAATTTAATGTAATGTAATGCAATGTAATGCAATGTAATGCAATGTCATGTAATGCAGTGTAATGTAATGCAATGCAATGTGATGCAATGTAATGTAATGCAATGTAATGCAATGTGATGCAATGTGATGCAATGTAATGTAATGTAATGCAATGTGATGCAATGTAATGCAATGTAATGTAATGCAATGTAATGCAATGTGATGCAATGTAATGCAATGTAATGTAATGCAATTTAATGTAATGTAATGCAATGTGATGCAATGTAATGTAATGCAATGTAATGCAATGTGATGCAATGTAATGCAATGTAATGTAATGCAATTTAATGTAATGTAATGTAATGCAATGCAATGTAATGTAGTGTGATGCAGTGTAATGCAATGTAATGTAATGTAATGCAATGTAATGCAATGTAATGCAATGTAATGCAATGTAATGCAATGTAATGCAATGTGATGCAATGTAATGTAATGCAATTTAATGTAATGTAATGCAATGTAATGCAATGTGATGCAATGTAATGCAATGCAATGTAATGCAATGTGATGCAATGTAATGCAATGTAATGTAATGCAATTTAATGTAATGTAATGCAATGTGATGCAATGTAATGTAATGCAATGTAATGTAATGCAATCTAATGTAATGCAATGCAATGTGATGCAATGTGATGCAATGCAATGTAATGCAATTTAATGTAATGTAATGCAATGTAATGCAATGTGATGCAATGTAATGTAATGCAATTTAATGTAATGCAATGTAATGCAATGTGATGCAATGTAATGCAATGTAATGTAATGCAATTTAATGTAATGTAATGCAATGTGATGCAATGCAATGTAATGCAATGTAACGTAATGCAATGTAATGCAATGTGATGCAATGTGATGCAATGTAATGCAATGCAATGTAATGCAATTTAATGTAATGTAATGTAATGCAATGTAATGTAATATAGTGTGATGCAATGTAATGCAATGTAATGTAATGTAATGCAATTTAATGTAATGTAATGCAATGTAATGCAATGTAATGTAATGCAATTTAATGTAATGTAATGCAATGTAATGCAATGTGATGCAATGCAATGTAATGCAATTTAATGTAATGTAATGCAATGTAATGCAATGTGATGCAATGTAATGTAATGCAATTTAATGTAATGGAATGCAATGTAATGCAATGTGATGCAATGTAATGCAATGTAATGTAATGCAATTTAATGTAATGTAATGCAATGTAATGCAATGTGATGCAATGCAATGTAATGCAATTTAATGTAAGTAATGCAATCTAATGCATGTGATGCAATGTAATGTAATGCAATGTAATGCAATGTGTGCAATGTAATGCAATGTAATGTAATGGCAATTTAATGTAATGTAATGCATGTAAGACAATGTGATGCAATGCAATGTAATGCAATGAATGTAATGTATGCAATGTAATGCAATATGTAATGTAATGCAATTTAATGTAATGTAATGCAATGTAATGCAATGTGATGCAATGTAATGTAATGCAATTTTATGTAATGTAATGCAATGTAATGCAATGTGATGCAATGTAATGCAATGTAATGTAATGCAATTTAATGTAATGTAATGCAATGTAATGCAATGCAATAATGCAATGCAATGTAATGCAATTTAATGTAATGTAATGCAATGTAATGCAATGTGATGCAATGTAATTTAATGCAATTAATGTCTATAATGAATGCAATGTAATGCAATGTGATGCAATGTAATGTAATGCAATTTAATGTAATGTAATGCAATGTAATGCAATGTGTGATGCAATGCAATGTAATGTAATGCAATGTAATGTAATGTAATGCAATGTAATGCAATGTAATGCAATGTAATGCAATGTAATGCAATGTAATGCAATGTGATGCAATGTAATGTAATGCAATTTAATGTAATGTAATGCAATGTAATGCAATGTGATGCAATGTAATGCAATGTAATGTAATGCAATTTAATGCAATGTAATGCAATGTAATGCAATGTGATGCAATGCAATGGAATGCAATTTAATTTCATGTAATGCAATGTAATGCAATGTGATGCAATGTAATGTAATGCAATTTAATGTAATGCAATTTAATGTAATGTAATGCAATGTAATGCAATGTAATGCAATTTAATGTAATGTAATGCAATGTAATGTGATGCATTGTAATGCAATGTAATGTAATGCAATTTAATGTAATGTAATGCAATGTAATGCAATGTGATGCAATGCAATGTAATGCAATTTAATTTCATGTAATGCAATGTAATGCAATGTGATGCAATGTAATGTAATGCAATGTAATGCAATGTGATGCAATGTGATGCAATGTAATGTAATGTAGTGTGATGTTATGTATGTATGTGTGTATTCCCATTGTGGATATTCCATCAATAGCCGGTCCTGGTTTTCCGCTGCTGGATGGTTTCGATGGCTTCCAGGACCAGTTCTGGGAAGAGCTGCCCGACCTCCTCAAAGAGCTGCTGGGTGGTCTTCCCTGGCGACGGCAGAAACTGGGTGGTGAAACGTGGGATTTTAATACCATGATACGATGGGATTATAAATGGATATAAATATAACCATGGATATGGCTTTTTATATATAATCCCACTAATAACCATTGGATATAAATACCATGATAATCCATGATAATCAGATAGTCACCATGATAATGATGATCATATATCACTATTATATATCTGGATAGCCTCAGTTATCCAGGTACCCTCTGGTAAACGTTTACATAACTATGGAAAATGACCATTTTTAATGGGTAAATCCACTATTTTTATGGCCATTTTCAATAGCTATGTTTGTTTACCAGAGGGTATTATCTGGGCAAATTACAATATTTCACTGACTTGAAATAAGGCTATATTGGGATGATTCCCCTTACTGTGATTACAGTGAGGTCACACTAATTACTGTTCTTACACGGGTGGTGATCGCGCTCTTGGGCCTAGACAAACCATGCTCGCATCGTGAATACATATGCTGTAAACGCCTAAACGTTCTTAACTCTTAACCAAAGAAACTGATAAACTTATAATCATCTCAAACCGAAAATGAAAAATTGCAAACGGAACGGCTGTCAGCACAAATGGAATGAACGAAAGAGCGCCTGATCTTTTCTCACTCATAGCGGCTACGGGGAAATATCATTCTGCCGCTGTGATGCCCCACTGTAGAGGCTATCGATTTCTTCAACTCTTTCAAGTGCTTCGCATGAAAGATCGACTTCTATACTTTGCCCAGATATGTCAATGGTAATACATAATCGTATATTCAATATTACATTACCATTTATTGGGATATGATATGCTATATAATGTGGGTATACTGGGAATAGAAACAAAATATGGACATTTGGCTAGATAAATGGGGATTTCACATAAACCTTATAACCCCAACTGCGCCCCCAAATATGATGCTCCAATAATCTCGAATACATGTTCAAGTTGGAAACCTGGAAATGATGGCGAAAACATCGAACTACCATCCTTTTGTATCTTACGTAGAACGGCGCATCTTTTTTGGGATTTCACCCGCAGAATAAAGCCATGGGATTTGGTCAGGAAACATCAGGAACTGGGACTTGACAAACAAACATAGAGAATCCCATATGCTCCATGGTGCTGGTATATTTACCTACATTTGGGTGTTTTTTTGGGCAAATGTTGGTAAATATGCCATACATGGAGCATATGGGAATTAAGATAATTCAGTAACCATAAATGGTTGCTCAAGTTTTTTTCACCTTTGTCAAGACAAAGGTAAAGAGTGAGGGAAGGAAATCCTTTTTTGATTAAACCCAAGAACTCCTTCCTGTAGAATTAACAGGTAACAAAAGGGAAACCCTGGTGCAATATCTATTGGATGGTTCCCCATTTTGGAAGGTGATGATTAGAGGAATGAAATCAGGTTCGTTCGGTCACCCCCCAACAAAAAGAAGAGATTGGCTTGCATGAAAACCTTCGAAAAATGACCAGAATCTGTGGTCACCACGAGCCTGCAAAAGGAAATGACCCATTCTCATTTCAACGAAAGTGCCACAGAAGCTGGGTCTTTGCATAACTTTTCGAAATACAGAGGATCCCCATCTTTAGCGATGGGAATAACTTTTGTTTTATCCAAACTTTGAAGACAATCTCCCGAATCACTGGGGCTTCTACTCCAAGTTGAATTCACTCAGTAATTATTGGTTTTGATCCTTTTTCTCTCTAACATGTTGGTCTAATATATAATCTATGTTACTACAGTCATCCATGGGGCCGCCAGTCTATCTACCTCTCCCGCCAGATTTTGGGACTTCCAGCACCTTCCAGGGAGATCTCCACACCCCGCGCCAAGACGTCTTGGGCATCGTCGATGATGTCCGTCATGACATGAACGCAGCATTCTAGGCGTGTCTCTCCTGCCACGCTGGGGACGAGGAATGTAACGAGCCACGCTTTTTGCCAGTCAAAATAGCTCATGTTGATTGGGGTATTCAGGTGTGTGCTTTAGCATCGCACAGGCAAGATTTAATTGCGAGCGAATGGAAAAAAAAACAGGTGTGTTGGGGACTCATATAATCTAGAATAAGGATACTGGTTGGTGGTATACCTACCCCTCTGAAAAATATGATGAAAGTCAGTTGGGATGATGACATTCCCAATATATGTTGGGTTGATTATTTCCTAATAATATGGGTATCCAATATCCTGGTATATATGGAAAAAATGTTCCAAACCACAAATCAATGATATCTATTATTTCCCAACCAGTATGCCGGATGGGATTTTGCTGTTTTTTTCATGGCTCAAGGGGAGAAACATAACCCTTTTTTGTTGCCCTCCGGTAAAGATCCGACGAGTTTAACACATCATTTGCCGCATGCACTTAAACTGGTTCTAAAGATGGGGTGCTTCCTCCTTTTTCAGTGGGCAAAGGACATTTTCAGTGGGCATGGGCCAGCGAAATCCTGCAGATGGTAAACATCCCATTGAAGCAGTGTTTCAATCCGGACTCCCAATAAAAAAAGTTACCACCTGCAGGATTTCTTCCACCATCCACAGTAACCAGGGCATTCCGCATCTCCTCGTAGTATTTGCGCTTGGAAGGGAAGACCACCGCGATACAAGGGCAATTTGCCTTGATGTTTGAATCTAATGAATCTAATGTGAGTAATGCCATAAAAACATCCATAAACCACCCCTTTTTTGATCCTAAAATTGGGATCCCATTGCTTTACTAACATTACAATCACCCGTTGATGTGATACTTGGAGATCCGACCCGACATTCGGCTGGCTTCTCTCCGACCGAAAGCAGTTACAGTTATAATCTATCATGCATCTTGAAAGGAAAATTATCTTGTATATGTATACAATGTATGTATGTATATATATACAATTATACATATCCAAACTGAAAAAAAGGTCACTATGGTCACTATGGTATGATTCCCCTAACCATTTACAATGAAGTCAGCCAATCACATCACTGTACTTGAATGTAATTGACATGTTTTGACTTTTGCAACATGTTTTTTCTAGAATGCCATATTTTTCTAATTTCCATCCCCACTATTGATGGTTAAACTTCTCTAGCAGCCTAGCAGCCAAGTAGCTGGGATGAAAATTCAGGGCCGCCTGTCCAGGGATCGTCACTGCGTGTGGCGGCAGCACGTGGAAGCCCGCGGCCACCAGGAAGTCTGGCGCCCAGTCGCGCAACGCGGCATAGACCGCTTCCACCTACGGTGCGCATGCCATAGAATGGTAAGTGGGTTATAACCGAGTTATGACTTATAACCCACATATACGGTAACTAATTAAGTAGGTCAGGACACCCACATATACAGTAACTGGTGTATACTCTTACAACTGTGTTATACCATGATTTTTCACCGCTGATTAACTGGGATGCACCAAGTTTCAAAATGTATTTTGACATTATCTGGCCCGCGAGAACGACTGCGAAGCTGCTGCCAAAGGTTGCTTCAGTGATAGCTGCATCAGCCTAATCACCCTTCAAATGGGGATTGATTGGGTCAGTTCAAGACCAGACATGGCCTAGAAACCAATTATTTTGATTTAAAGCCACAGATACTCAGATACCCTTCAGTAAATAGAAAAAAAACGTCTCTTGGGAAAACATTCGACCTCTATGATTTTTCCCTGCCATGGCGTGTTACAACCGCTTTTTTTTGAAACATCGAGGCCTGGCTCCGATAGGTGGCATCCTCTTTGCAGATTCGTGCGAAGCTCAAGCTGTCACTGCACAGCCTCGGGAAAAAAATCAACCGCCTACATGGGCGGGTGGGGCACCTGGTTTTTTTGGTCATTTACAACAAATCTGGTTGGTGGTATACCTACCCCTCTGAAAAATATGAAAGTCAGTTGGGATGATTTTTCCATTCCCAATATATGGAAAAGTAAAATTCATGTTCCAAACCACCTACCAGAAATGAGTCTTTCAAGCAAAAAACTGCAGGTTGAAGCAACATCAGCCTGATTTGAGGCCATGTTGGATGGTTTCCTATTACTCAACCATCGAGAACACTGTGGGGCTGGCTTGGTCAAGGCGGATCGGCAAACCACTTGGTCGGAGCAGTAAAACATCACCCAAAATAATCACCCAAAACATCACCCAAAATAACCACATATCAAAACTAAGTCCTGGTGGAGTCTTTAATCTACTGGGGTTGCTCAAACCTCCGTTCTCGTTGCTTGAGCCCCCATGTTGCTTTGTTTTTGGTGCCAATTGATGCAGAAAAAGACTTCACCGGAAGCGGTCTCGCTGAGCTGCGGAAAGAGCATGAAGTCGCAGCCCACTTCTTTGCAAAACTCCTGCAGCTCGGTCTTGTTACTCACCACCAGCAGCCTGGCGTGAGTCTGGCGAGTCTGGCACCAAGCGTGAGCCAAAGAGGTTCTGGGTAAGATATATATCTGGGTAAATTACAAAAATTCACTAACCTGCATTAAGGCCATTTGGGGATGATTTTCCTTATTAATTAACCATGATTCCAGTGAGGTCGCAGTGAGGTCGTTATAATTTACTCAGATATATATATATATATATATATATGTGTGTGTGTGAAATACGACAGCCAGCTATATGACATTATGATGGGATATAACCCAGATGAATTTCATAAGCTGGTTACAGTTCGATGCCTGGGATATCGCAGAAATATCTCGATTCAAAGAACTTACGATGCCTGGGATCATGGCGACCCGACCATCAAGGTGAAAGGGATGAACCCAATGGGGATGGGATGCCCCACTGGGTTCAGTGTTTTATACACAGCCACCGGTGGCTTCACCTTGCAAATAGGAACAAAAGCATTGGAATAATATGGAATAATCATACTCTGGGCTGGAAATGCAACACATTTGAAAGCACTAACCGCTCTTGGCATGTGAACCTCGTTAGTCAAAAACATCTTAGCGAAATGTTTTGCAGTAACAAGATCTCCGGGCAGAATTTTACAATAATTTGTGGCAAACCACTGAGCTACACTACACTTCACCAGTCAACTTGCCACGTGCCACCATGGTCCACCCTGTGGGCTGCGGCCTGCTTGTGACCAGTTGCAACTTTGGAACCTTGACAAATCCAGCTGAAGGCAGCTAGGTTGATCAGGCATTACTAATGGATGGCAAGTTTATTGTTAAGTAGTCCTAATGGGTATACCGGTATATCGGTATAAGTTACTGGAACGACCCAAATGGATAGTTTGAGATTCACAGCAAATTGAAAATAACCTGTGTTTGTCCGTTGGTACCTTAGTCGGATGAGTATTTGCACAGGGCGAGACTTCCTGATGCCAGTTCTTTCATTTGGATGTGATGCTATTATTCTCATCTACAAAAGCTCTACAGATAGAAGGTAGACTCCAGGAGCAAGAACTATCATTGACAATCAATGGGATTGGGCCGTCACTGGTCCACTTGGATCATCACGATCTGACTCACACGGCCGAAGTTGTACACTATACACACGACACGAAACATCAGTGGACTCAGTGGGATATGATAGTTTTCGTGGTTGGTATAATCCATTGACCAAACCAAACTGAAAAGAGTATACATATGTAAATATATATATATACAAATACATCCCATATACATATGTAAATATATATATATACAAATGTATGTATATATATATATTTTTTTTAAAAAAAAAACGTACATTTACATATGTATACATACATTTATGTATACATACATATATATATGTGTGTATGCATTTACATATGTATGCATACATATACATTTATGTATCTATATATATACATATGTATCTATATGTGTATATATATGTATATACATCTGTATATTTACACACATACGTATATGTATCTGCGCATATGTGTATATATATACATACATATGTGTATGTAAATGCTTTTGTACCTGTATCTATATATATGTATACATATGTATATGTATATATATACATATGTATGCGTGTATATATATACATATGTGTGTATGTATATATATGTGTGTGTGTGTCTGTGTGTGTGCTCGACACTTTCAGAACATATCAGAATGCATCCATGTATACATACATACATGTCCATGATATGATAGAATATGGTATAATTTGATCTGATACAATATGATGTGACATCATAACAATCATTTCACGTCCATGATACAAAATAATATCAAATCATATCACAAAAGAAAAGATAATATAAGTTTACGAAATATAATATAATATAACATAATACTATATAATATAATATAATATAGTATAATATAATATAATATAATATAATAAACCATAACATAACATAATCTTATATCAGATTGCATTATATTATAGTATCGTATGTTATTTCATACTGTATTTTACTTTGTAGTATTAGAGTATAGCATATCATGTTATACTATGCTATACTATGTTATATTATATGTTATGCTATGTTATAATCATAGACATCACACACACACATATATATATATAAGCAAACATCAGGTAGTAACCCCAAAAAAACTTAGAAAAGCCATGTATCACTATTTTAGTCTTATTTTACTTTTTAGCTTGCTGTACACATCACAAAATATAACCGTCCAAGATACCAAGCCCTTCACCCAGCACGGGTAGTTTGACAGGAAGACCACCGCCGGCGCCGAGCTTGGCAGCAAAGTGCTGGTGTTGCGCGCAGTGCTGTGAGGCGCCCGGGGAAGCGTCACAAGTAGCCTGGAGCGTCCGGCGGCTTCAGATGGATTTCTGATGGATAAGGATTAATTGTGGCTAACTATTTCCAGAGTACTTGTATCAATCCCCGCAAAAAGAACAAGCTGGAATCGATGACTATTTTAGTCGGAACTTTCTCTGCTTTTAATCTTTTTGGGGATAATTACCAGTAGCACCGCACAAGGCGGTGGCGGAAGTTTCAAAAAATAGGAAACCTATAGGAGAGGTTGGTTGTTGTGAATCATGTCACCCAGTGCCACACCTGCCACGCGAAACGGATGTCACCAAGTGCCACGCCTGCCACCCGCGGGCGACTAACCGCTCCCAAGCGCGCCACCAGAGCCAGCCCAGTGCCATAAGTGCCACGCCTGCCATGCAAAGTGAAGGTGGATGTCGCCAAGTGCCACGCCTGCCACGCAAAACGAAGGTGGATGTCACCAAGTGCCACGCCTGCCACACAAAGTGGCGCGGCGCCCCGGGCGACTAACCGCGCCCAAGCGCGCCACCAGAGCCAGCCCAGTGCCATAAGTGCCACGCCTGCCACGCAAAGTGAAAGTGGATGTCGCCAAGTACAAAGATGTGGGGAAAAAGTTATGATTGACAAAGTTTTGTGTGACAAAGTTATGTGTGAAAGATGGTGTGTGACAAAGTTGTGGGTGACAAAGTTGTGTGTGAAAGATGGTGTGTGAAAAAGTTGTGGTTGACAAAGTTGTGTGTGAAAGATGGTGGGTGACAAAGTTTTTTGTGAGAGAGAAGACCGGCGGCGGAGGAGGCGGAGGAGGGAGGCGGCGGCGGGATACAGAATCAAAAACAAGAACCCCACGCAAAGATGTGGGGAACAACATGCCAAAACGCAGAAATCTGGATAATTCACCCATCTGAAAAGTTCTGAACAGGGGATGATTGCCCCAATCCAATTCCCATCCAATTCAGATCATCGTAAAACCGTGGGGACATCAACCAGGACATCAACCAGGTCGCACACACAGCAGCAAGCAGGCCGTTGGTAGCACCACATCCGCATGGCTCCAGCTGCTCTTCACCATGGCCTCCCAATTGGGTCCGGCAGCTAGCAACAACATGGCCTCAGTTTTCGACCCCGAGAAGCAGTTGACCGTGACTTGGGGGGCCGGTGAACCAAGATGACTAGTGGATGATAACACAGAAAAAAGTGGACATAGTTTTCTGTTTTCCCAGTTGCTAAGTATTTAATTGTCTTTTCATGGGGTTTACAGTATCATCCCAGTGGTTGCTTCTGGAAGTGGAAACTCCCAGTCCCAGCCCATACAGAAGACGATCCCCTTTAAAGGATTTGGCAGTGCAATCCCCATGTCTTTTCGTCTTTCCCAAAGAGAGCAATCAAAATCATCAACTTGATCTTTTTTTCAGGTCTGTCCTGGATCATCATCCAAGTGATCCCAAGTTTTCGATTTTCGCAAGTGTCAAAATTTTGTCAACCCCACACTGAAGCTGCGGCACGGTGAACAACAACACTGCAGCATGCACTTTGGTACTGCGACGGGCAGCCATTGAGGATGGAGATTTCTGTTCTTTTTTAGGGCCAAAACGGCTACGAATCACCGACCACAGCCGCGCGAAACGCTGCAAAAGTTGGATAGACGAGGATCACAAATTCGATTCTTCGGGGCGTGATGATCTCCGAACTTTGCATGGGGTATGTCTGAAAATAGGATGTTCCTAAATCCACTGCTTAATTAATCAATGACATTCAATGACCATAAATGTGGGGTATACCTCTTGTTCAAACACTCTAATTTGTTGGGGTTAGGTGATCCCTGAACTTATTTAGTATGAGTGTGTAGTTGGATCACGAACCGTACTGTATTTCATGAGGTTGAGAGGTCCTTGCAATGTCTTCACTTTTCTTACCAAGTCTTAGATTCTCTGCAAGAAAAAGCTGGATACTCCCGCTGTTCATATACCCTCATCCAAATGGCAACACTCTAAACCATTGAACTCCATTTACCAATTAGTGTAAAGAGTTGTATCAGCTATGTCCACCTTTGGCGGCTTCATCCCAAAAACTATACTATGGCTTGTCTCCGTTTTGATTCTGAAATGCAAGTCGTTGCTGTTGTCCTTATTGTCGTTGCTATTCTTGTTGTTGCTGTTATGATTCTGATTATTGCTGTTAAACAGGATTAAACTTGACTAAACCATACTAAACATCCCTCAGCATCTCTAAGCAGCGGCAGTCAGAAAAGATGGTTTAGATTCTTATTATTCTAACCATATACTTGGCTTTGAAAAGATGTTTTTGTCTAAGCATCTCCAACGCAACCGATCAGAAACTGGCCCTGTGTGAATCGGCATCGTCCAGCCCACCTCAACACTGAAGGCAGTACCTGCTTACATGTGCCACGGTCAACTTACATTGCTTTGGGGTGCTATATGTCATCCTGATCATAGAAAAATAATATGTATATACACATTATATATATATATGTCAACTATATATATATATTATGTATATTAATATTATTATTAATAAATATGTATTAACATATATCATCCCTATTGATGGATGGATGACTTTGCCCCAACAACTGGGCAACGTTACAGTGTTGACCAAGGCACTTGTGGAACAACACGCCACGCTTAGATGAAGACGTGTGCCACTTGAACTTTGGACTAACTACATGTGGACAACTTCAGATGCTGTTTACACTTCTGGACTAACTACGTGTAAGTGTTTTCCTCAAACATCATCCGAATTTGGACTCACTACAAAAAAAACGACCATCTTGATGTGACCATCTTGATGTGACATTGAAAGTTCACAAAAAATCAACATCTGATGCAACCTTTGTGGGAATTCAGAAACAAATACCCATGGGGAAATAGGGAAAAATTGAGCGTTCAATGCAAAAAAAACTCGGAATCTGTAAGTTTTCTTGGAAGTTTGACCCGAACAGTCAGGAAGCACCCAAGATTCAACAGCAATTCGACCAAAAAAGGATCCTGGCGGTGCCACAAGTAGATCTATTTGGCTGTGGATCAAGAACTGCAGCAATTACTAAATGGGTACATAGCGAAAATCATACATGCCATATCCCAACTTATGGAGGTTATTGCCATAGTTCTGCCCAGCAACCTCAACTGCACCCCCAAGTACCCTGCTTTCACTTCAAAAAATAGCAGGGATCACCTACACACGCGGGGACTGTGTATTTCTCGTGCCTGCGCAAGACCTTGTTGTTTGAAGTCGCCATTCACAACAGCATCCCCTAACCCCCCCCATCTAGTAGTAGCACGTTTCTTGGAATAAACGACAATAAATCAGTAGAGTATATGTAATTATATATTATATAAGCATTATATATATATGTATATATAATATCAGGGTGGCCGCGGAAACGAACCGGGAACCGGAAACCGGCACCGACAGGAAACGAAACGTAAAGGAACCGAACCGGTAATGTAGAAACCGAACCGGGATTGGTATGGAACCGAAGCGGTACAGGAACCGAAACGGAACAGAACCGAAACGGTAATGCCGGAACCGACCCGGTATCGGGGTGGAAACGACAGGAACCGAACCGCCACCAAACCAAACCGGCAGCGATTTTAACAAGCCCTGGAATTGCAAGGGCGAAGAAACTACATACTTAGAAAGAGTAGCATCGATTTGGGGATGGTTACCAGACTGATTGTCTTGCATGGCCCCAGTTCTGGCAACCAGGAGAGGCCTTTGCTGTTACTTTGCCCTGACAGAACGCGCCTGCAGCTTCTTGATTCTTTGCTTTCAAGCGGCCATTGCGGCAGGTAGGAATTGAAAGTGAATCTAGGATGATCTAGGTGCCCCTTGTATGATCCATAAACATCCGAATAAGAAGTTTATACTGCAGCTACAATGCCTCTATTCAAAATCATAGACTTAGAATCCGCAGGAAAACCGACACGTAGGAACCGAAAACATGCTAGCTGAACCGTACGCGCTTGAGGTTAGGTTCTTGTGGCACCACACCGACCAAAATGAAACCGAACCGTGGTAGGAACCGAACCGTACCTGTTGAAGGTTAGGTTCTTGTGGAAACGAACCGGCCTGAATGGAACCGAAACGTTGCCGTAACCGAACCGTACCTGCATTAGGTTAGGTTCTTGTGAAACCGAACCGACACGAACCGTGGCCATACTATAATACATATATATATATAAGCTCAGCTACATATGTATATTATTTACATATATATACATGTACATATATAATATATACGTGTATATTGTATATATATATACATATTTGAGCATTCAGCTTCAACGCTTGTTTCAAGAGCTTTCCACCTCCACTGTTTGGCGTTTTTACTGAAGCGATCTCCTTTACCCAAGGCCAAGCCGTCCCGGCGCACGATCCGGCTCTCTGGGTAAGCGATCTCTGGTTTGACTCCCGGCGTTGCCTCAGTGATGAGGGTTTCTCGATGCTGTTTTTTTTTGCAAAGACAGTGAGTCGTGGTGACAATTAGATGAACTGGGTCCTGATTCACTCATGGATTTCTTGGACAGCCATGATTGAGATATCTAATGACAGGTTGCTGTGAATGGATTAAACTGGCAAGATTGATGGACTCAAAAAAAAGCCGGCCGAATTAAAGAGGAGGTTGACCTGACCATACCCCTTCCTATAAATCAACAATATTCTGTTTCTATCAATGTAGAGCCAGCACCACGTAGTTGAGCATTGCATATCATTGTATGATTCACCATCGAGGTCTAGAACAGCAATGCATGATCCTTGTAACGTTTACGTGCATTTACATGATGTCATATGACTTCACCATATTATAGTAAGAACTATTACAGTAGAACTACATAGAACTATATATAGAAAGATATAGAAAGATATAGAAATATACGTACAGAAATACATAGATACATACATAGAAATATGTAGAATCATGTATATATATATATTACAGTATAGAACTATATAGAACTATATAGAACTATAGTGATAGTACGGGCCGTGTCATACTCGTATGTGTGTTGCTTAGCCGAAAAAAACATCACGCCATGGTTCCACCGAGAGGATTTGCAGAATTGGATGAGATATGATGAGCATGTCGACTTACCATCTGGTTACCCTCTGGTAAACTAACATAGCTATGGAAATTCACCGTTTTTAATAGGTAAATCAACTATCAATGGGCCATTTTCAATAGCTATGTTAAATTACCAGAGGGTATGACTAACGGTTTGCCATGGAAAGATCCACCCATTTTTAAGAACGGTAAACCCAGGTAAACCATCTATTTCGATTAGGGCCATCGAAAAACCATGGCTATGTTAGTCATAACCAGAGGGTATATTGACTTATAGATATTACTGGCTTGGTGGTTTCAACCTACCCCTCTGAATGAAAGTCAGTTGGGATGATTATTCCATTCCCAATATATGGAAAGTCATAAAATTCCATGGTTCCAGTCACCACCAACCAGTTCCAGTCACCACCAACCAGCATTTAGTTAACCATCATCAACCATCATTAACCACCATTAACCATCATTAACCACCATGTTCCAAACCACCAACCGGATATATCAACAGTTTGGGGAACACCGGATATGCGTTTGTTTCTCTCCAGGCTCGCACGGATTGGGATGAAACAACAGCTATAGGCCGCTAAAAAAACAGATAGGAAAAAGCTGTAGGATTGGGTTGCTGGCAATGCCTGTTTTATTAAAAAGAAACACTAAGTTAGACCACAACTTAAGACCTGCCAATGAAAAAGGTCAGTAGATCTAAAAAATCAGTGCTCCACAAAGAGCAGAAAAGGTCAGCAGGTCATCAATCTATTTCGGGGATAGCACCGAGCACCCCGACGACTCACCACGCTGGGCAACAGAATCCTTGCGAGCTGGGAGATCCCCCCAGCTATACATGGAGGCTTAAAAAATGTGTTTTTCATGGGAAAATCAACAAAACCAGTGGGAGATTTTCCAGCAAGCCATGTTTGGAGGCACAGCGCCTCAAACAACTCCAAGCGTGCGCCAGTTGGCCAATTCGACGTTTTGTACGCAACGATGACTGGGTAACCCATGGAAAAAACATGTACCCAGCGTGA